TGTGTTGCATTAGGCATTTCTGTATACTTAGGATCACGGATGATTTCTAATGTAGTTTCTGTTTTGGCTTGGAGTACTCGGTGAGTTTTTATGCTTTAGCATCCTTGCATGCGTGTGAGTGACTGCCATGAATAGCATGCTTACCATGAGGCTATATGCTTATGTGATATAATTGCCTGAATGCCTGTGGGTGAAGGTTGGGTTATTTGGATTGGAACAAATCATTGACTGTGAGTTTTAAACCCACTAGATAGTGGCAAAACCATCTTTTCTAATCCCATCCGAGGGTGGCAAATTCACGTCTTAGCCTACTTGCGGGTAGCACCATCAAACCATTTTCAATCAAACAAACAAACATGAAATGTTTTGCTCCAATTCAGGCGACTCAGTCTATACTTGTATGCTGTGCACATCACATAGTAACCTAGGCTAATAACCAGAATAAGAACATACAATGTTTTCAAAAATAGATATCATGGTTAGTAGAGGCCAATCTTTGATCGGGCGAGCGGGGGTGCTCACGAAGTGACCTTCCCTAATCGTACCCAAGTTCCCGAGCCGAGGTAACTTTGGTGATGACGGACACGTGGCCTTAGGCAACGAGTCAGGGTTTCCTAAATTTCCCAAAATAAAATATTTAGGTGGCGACTTTGTATCTGGCAAAGCAGTCCATGTTTGGCACTTCTTTCAAATCTGTTTTCTCAAAACGATTTGCCGGATTTGGACTCTTTGGTTCAGATTACGAACCGTGACCATTTGAGAGTCCTGAGCTGTAGTGACCCCAAATAAACAGAACGAGACTCACCCTCTCGAGGCGTTCGGGGACGTCTATACCATGTTGGTTTGTTGGTCCCTCTCATGCTTGACACACTTGCTTTGTATTCCCCTATTTTGCCTAGAAATGCATCTAGCCATTAGACCATCATGCTTGCGTATTCTTGCCTAGCTTCGTGAAGCTTTTGGCCATGATTTATCATGATTGAGGTCTGTTGGGTGCTGGTTTGGTCGTATTTGATATGTTTTGTGTAGCCCCTTTGCATTCTAGCATGTTGGCATCGGGTGTGTGAGTCATGAGCATGCTTGAGTTGGGTTGTTTCAGTTGATTTGGAGTCATTTCACATGCCATTTCAGTCCCTAATCCATGCTTATATGCTTCCATTCATCATCTCTTTCATGCTTTGAAGGGTTGTTCTTTTGTGCCTTGGAAATGGTCATTGTGCATACCTATGTGTTTAGACATTAGACTGCCATATCAGTGGGTTTTGAGGGCCCTTTTTGCATGTTAAAACCCTGTTTTGTATTGAAAAATTCATGCCATGTTTGCTTGGGGGAGGTGTTGAGTAATGCTCCCTTTTGTGGCCTTGAATGCCCTTGTTTTGGACTCATTTCTTGGTGTGTTTTGACCATGATCTATGTATGCTTTAGTCTTGTTTTGGAGTCCCTTGGGACTGTTTTAGGTCATTTTGGTCCTTTAAGGTTTGGTTGACATAGTTTTGGTTTGACCCCCTTTATTGGCTTCAAGTGTTGGTCATTGTTGCATGCCTTGCTTGCATGTTTTGTTTGATTTCGCATCATTCTCTATTCATTTTCAGAGCTTAGCATGTTCATGTTACCTTGCATGAGTTGCATCACTTTGCATTGTATATTGCATCCATGCATTACATTTTGCTTGGTTTGGGGTGTCAAACCAAGTATGAGGATTGAGAAGTGTTCATACTCCAAGTGATGTAACACGTCTCAACCCTCGGTAGCCAATGCCCTTGATCTCAATATGATAGGGTGTTGACACTCATCTCTTTTGTTGCATTCATTCACATTGAATTGCAAACTTGGTCCCTTAGGCCATCATGCGTCGAAATGCATAATTGATGGCCCGGGGGTCGAGGGTCATGCTCCCTTGAGTCCCTTGCATGATAGGAAGTGTGTCCATGCTCACATTTGTTTGAAAATTCCATGCCATACACAGCTTGCCCTCTGCTGCTGCCAGCTGCAGGTTTTAGCAGGAAGAATTGGCCGGCCGGCAGTGTTGGGTGCCGACCTGCAAAACATGTTTGGCCGATAGCTTATTCAGTGGTCGGTGATCATCCCCTCCGGCCGGTGGCATTTCTACTTGGTCGGTGGTACCCCCCAGCATCCAAAGAGCATACTCTTGGACTTTAGCAGTCCTCGGAGGAGCAAGGCAGTGTTAACAGAGGCAACAGTGCTATGGAAGCGAGTTTCCGGGTGAGACGAGTCAAGCATGCATCATTCACGTATCCCGAGGCGGGGCTGCGGCCACCTTTCTTCTGCATTTAATTTGTTAATTAATTAGAAATTTTTGTAATTAGTTATTTAGCTTGAGAGTTAATTAATTAGGTGGTTTGTAATATTTACACTACAAGAATTAACACTTTTGGCAACAAAAAAATTGGTCGCTAAAAGTCTATTTTTGGTCGGCAAAAGTTATCCGTGACCAATTTTTTTGATCGCTACTTTGGTCGCCAATTGAGGGTCGGCAAAAGTAATTCGCGACCAAAATTTTGGTTGATCGGCAAAAGTTGGATTTGCCGACTAAATTTTTAGTCGCTAATTATTAATTACCGCGACTACTTTATTTTGTCGCTAAAACACTTTGGTCGTGAAAAGTCACCTTTTGCCGACCAAATTTCTTAGTCGCCAATTGACACATTTCGCGACCAAAAATTTTGGTCGCCAATTGTGACATTCTGCGACCAAAATTAGTTTGGTCGCCAATTGTGACATTTCGCGACCAAAAATTTTGGTCGCCAATTGTGACATTCTGCGACCAAAATTAGTTTTGTCGCCAATTGTGACATTTCGCAACCAAAAATTTTGGTCGGTAATTGTGACATTTCGCGTCCAAAAATTTTGGTCGCCAATTGTGACATTCTGCGACCAAAATTAGTTTGGTCGCCAATTGTCACATTCTGCGACTAAAAATTTTGGTCGCCAATTGTCACATTCTGCGACCAACACCAACAAAATAAACCTGTAATTTGTAATAATCCATCCAATTTATTCAATATAATCTGTAATTTGCAAAAATCATTCAAACCAACAAATAAATTGAATCATCAACATTCAACAAAATACATATAACAACCATTTCTGAACCTGTTTAATTAAAGTCAGCAACTATTATAAGTTTACATCCAAAAATAATTCCAAACTACATATTTCATCTAGCATAAAAATTTAAAACATAACACGTACTTGTTATTATGTTTTAAATTTTTATCCATGTACATCAACCAAAAAATATAACTACTAGTCTACCAAATATTTTCTATACACATCCATCCAAAAATATAACTAGTAGTGTATCCAAAAATATAACTACTAGTCTACCCTAATATTTTTCATATACATCTATACAAAAATATATAACCCTTCAAAAAAAGAAAAAGTGCCAATTTGTCCTGTACAATTTAGCTTTGTGCACGAGGTCATCCATCTGTATAGCGACCCCAGTCTTTTCCTACTTGATTATTGTATCCGGACTTAGGCTCCGTAGATTCTGTCATTGTATAATTGTTGTTGTTGTCCCTTATTTTCTCATTTGGAATTATAGGGTGTGTTGGGCAGGTTTGTTTCAGGTTGGTTGGGTTTAGAAACCAAGTGTTGCTGTCCAGGTTTTTGGTTCTTCGCTCGAGCGAGGAGTTGTTCGCTCGAGCGAGTGGTTGCGTTTGATTTGGGCCTGTAGCTGTGCATTCTTGGCTCGAGTGAGATTTTCTTCGCTCGAGCGAGTTAGTTCGTCCTTCGCTCGAGCCATAGTTCCTTCGCTCGAGCGTGTGTCTTGTTGCGGACCTGAGGGTTTGAGTTCTTCGCTCGATCGAGCTTTCTTTCGCTTGAGCGAGCTTTTGAGTTGTTGGCTCGAGCAAGGCTTCCTTGGCTCGAGCGTAGTCTCTCTGTGTCTGGTCGCTCGAGCGACCAAGTCTTCGCTCGAGCGAGCCTGTCCAGTTTATATACGCAGCAGCGGGTTTTGATCAGTCTTTTCTTATTCTTTTTGGTTCTAAACCCTAGGTCCGACTTCTCTCCCTCAAAACTCATCTTCTCTTTAGGTGTTCATCTACTTCTAGTGTGAATCCATCTTAAGTTCTTTGTAAGAAAGATAGAGGGCGGCTTGGGCTTCATTCTAATCTGAACATTTGGTGATTTGGAGCACATTGGAATTTGGGTGGAGAATACATTGTTAAGAAAACAAGTCTCATCCCATATCATGAAAGGGCTGATCAATTGCTTTCGCAATTCAGGAAAACACACATTTTCCATGTGAAGAGAAGAACAAATGCTCGAGCTGATTCAAGCTATACAGCACACTAAAATGTGTATCAATCTGGAAGTATGAAGTGTTTGATTTGAGCTTGAGTCTCATTTGTTTGTTGATATTGGAAGGATGTGAATATGATATATGTGATTCACTGTTATAAGTTTGGCCAGGTTCTGAGCCATGTTGACAAAATTGCAAAGTAAAACGTATCTTTGGCAATAGTGTCATGAGACTGTAAAATGAAGTAATTGATTATTTTGGTTATCCATCTGTTGAATGCTATTGCTTTATTCATTGCTTATATGTGGTTTAGTATATTTCTACTGGGCTGTGGCTCACCCTTTATGGGAACATCATTTTCAGGTTCAGGTGATAAACTACCTCCAAGGACTTAGCTTGGGAGGGTTTGGCTTTTGGATCGAAGAAGACTACCTTTAGTTAATTGTCTTTATTTATTAGTACATGTATACATTCAAGCCTAGGGCTTTTCTTGTATTGAGTTAGAACTCATATTTTTGTATCCAAGTGTTGGCTTGGAAAGATGTAAGCCTGTAGGGCATTTTATTCGATGTTACATGTAATGCTTCATTTAGTGATACTCTGATGAATGAATCAATAAATTGTCTTCTTTAATTAATGCATGTCAATGATATATAATGGGTTAATTTTGAGGGCGTTACAATCTGTACCAAAAAAAAAAGAAAAGAAATAATGTTAGGTAAAAATAGACAAATAATGAAAAATGTCCATGAAAAGCAAAGGTCACATTAGCAAATTATATTACTATCATTATCAAATTGTAAATAAAACAATAGCATTCTTATGTCTATAGAATAAATTGAAACCTCCACCATTCCAGATCCAATATAGTGCCACATAGCAGAAACCAACATGGCAACTGAAATTGATTCATATTGTCAATAACTCCTATGCCCTTCAATGAACCTTTCATGTGAATTAAATTTCAATCCAGAACCAACCATAATCAGTACCCCAGCGGTGTGTGCTGCTATGTGATAAAACAGCTTTTCAGAAGCCTTCTGATGAAACCCATATTGCCAAGGCTTCTGAAGGCTCCTAATATGTCATGTTGTGATGAAACGAGTGTTACACTGCTGCCACAGTGTTACACAAACATTCATGCAGACCACCAAAGGAAAAAAAATAAGAAAAAAGAAGTATCTATCTTTTGTTAATCTATATATCTAGATTGATATATAATGAATGCATGGATGATGAACATGATTCATTACATTGCAATATCGGTTCAGAGGCAAAGGGAGATGCCCATGACTGAATATCGGATAAGGGGTGTGGCACTTGACTACCCAGAATATAATTCGATTGACTAACCCAACCAATTCACTCCTCAAAGGGGAGGTAGGCAGTCTACTTTTAAAACGGATCTTTATATACTTGAAAAAAAGTTAAGTTTGTGACTATTGGGTAGTTTTATTTCTAATCGTTTTTATTTAGAGGTAAGTATTAGAAAAAGCAAATACTAATATATGATATTATATTTATCATGCATGTATTGATCAGTGATATAAAAAAATGTTCAAAACAAAAAATAATTTATAGCAGCTCTCTAATAAATTTTATACATCGATGATTAATATAAATACAAACTATAAATTGGTATTGATAGTCACCACCATATATAGTTGACTATTAATTTGTATTCTATCTTCTATAAAGCCGCCATTTGACATCACCAACTGAAGATCATATTCCATCAAAATAAATAAAAACACTAAAATTGACATTCAACAGAATGTATGGTGTTCTCAGTACTATATTATCTTTAATAAGGCCCACAAACTATGATGATCATTTGTAATGTATTTTTGGGAGAGTTTCTAATGTGTAGCATTAGAAATTTAGAAATTTCACAATATTTAAAAATCAAGAAGACTTGGAAATTTCTATACAGAAAGTGTGCACTTTTGCAATTTCTGAAACATTGTAATTTATTAAGTTTCTCAATTTGAGAAATTCGCAAAATTCGACATTTTCTCGAACCAAACTTGTGAAAATTTCTAATTTCACAATATAGACCACCAATTTACTCCAAAAAAAAGCATCCAGACAAATCAAGATGATTGACAGATCAGAAAAAAGCCAGACAGATCTGGAGCACACACTGAAGCCAGACAGATCATGCAGACCATCCAGACAGATCAGCAGAGGATCTTTCTGAAGCCAGACAGATCATGCAGACCACCATATTGACAAATAATCCTTGCACAAGAAATAACAACCATATTGAAAACAAAAATGATCAAATATGATCCCCAAGCTAAGCATGTGAAAAACAAATAGCATGAATAGTTATGTACCATATCAGGACTCCTCCCACAAGCACAACAAACAGGTAAAGCTGACAAGAAACAGTGACAATACATCTATTTAGAAACTTGAGAAATGATAGACAAAGCATTCAATATTAATGCTTATGTTTTTCATTTGGTGGAGGTCAATTGGGTCGTTCTGTCCTCTTGTGAGCTTCTGTTTTGTATTGATTTTAGAGGAGGATTGGGATCAAATAGAAGGGCTTGGGTTCTATGAAGATGTGTGGCTTGTGCAGTCTTTGGGGTATTATGCTTGAAAGGAATGATAAAGTTTGTTAGGAGAATGTAGAAGATTAGGATAGAATTTGGGAGCAGTTGTGTTTTTAAGGCTCTTTAAAGAGATTCCACATTTTTTAATTTCTAGGATTTGGAATGGTATTTGTAGAGCATGAGAACCTTTGTTTTTGGTTTTTTGGTTTGTTTTTCTTACTTTTCTTCCCTTTTTGATTTTGGTGGACTTCTTGTCCTCCTTCGTATTTCAATTTTTTAAATGATTATCGGATTTTCTTTGTTGCCTTAAAAAGTTTCAATAGTAACAGGTTTACCATTGCCAACGCCAGTAGCATGCTTCCTTTCCTCGCCTGAACAACCTTACAAACATTGTACACGCTGCACAAACGCAGAACACCATATAAAGTAAAATCAAGCTGATGATCACCCAGAAACAGTTAAGAAGTCATGAATGTGAGCTTTGGCATGAGCAAAAAAATGTCATAAAACTCAAGACCAAAATAATCCTGCTCATATGAAGCCTGTCATGTGTAATAGGATATGCTATTTAGAAAAGAAAAAAGAAAAAAGAAAAAATATATGTATAGCGTGTAAGATATAATCTTTAATGTAATTATGTGCAACCAATTAGCTAAATATTTCAAGAACAGCTGAGTAATATGGACATGTATTCAGCCCACATCCAACAAACACAAGAAGAATAGCATCCTTGACGGTAATGACGCCAAGGATGCTGCAATGTGATTATAATTCTTACCAACAATTTCAAATCAGCAACTCAAACCCTATTCTACAACATCAATCTATGACTTTGGGAATGTACAGCCCATTCACATGTAACATGGAACAGTACTCTACTAAAGACTACATGGTGGCATCAAGAAAGTCAAAAGTTTTTTTTTTTTTTTTTTCTCAGGGCATCAAAGTAAATCGCTACAGATACAAACAAATAAAGTAAGTTGGCTAGGTAAGAGCAATAAACACAGGATCAACAACATAGGCACAAAAGAATTTGCTACAAGTTATTTGTGTCATACAAATCTGTTTCTAGATATACATAGGTCATACCATTTATCAACGGAACCCAGCTCAGAAATGGCAGAGACTTCCCAAAAGGTTGAGCCCACCAATCAGCACCTGAAAAAGAATGGAATAATATTATTACAGTATAATACCGCCTAAAAAAAAGAATGGTATTTTCCTTCCTAAGTTAAACTCCCCATCCAAAGACCAACTAATGGAAAGAAAATCCAACACAACAGTCACAGAAAAGAAGTAAATAATGTTTCTTTTCTCTTTCCCAAAACCAAAAGGTAAAAATGAAGTATGTCTCTATGGGAAACAGTTTGTCATATATAGAAAGATCACAAAATCATTTTCATTCTATTGGTTTTTCCAATGTAGCTGAGCAAATGAGGTTTAAAAGCAACATATATCTAACTAATTCTAGAATAGAATTGTATATGCAAATCAAGCAGCCATAGTACAGGTAAAATGTGAAAGCATATATATGTACACGTTTATCTACACACATAGGCAAAGAGTTGTCTAATCATATCAAATTTAAAATTTTTAAATCTATTTAGAAATCAGAAACTGAAATAGCGCGAAGCAGGTCAGGGCTAATAAAATAGATGAAAAAGAGCAGGGCCCGATTGGCATTTAGCAGAACTTCTAAATATTCCCATAGTCCGTGACCAACGCACAATATTTCACCTGAATGTTGCCTCTAGCACGTGTAACTCACTACGCATGAGATGTTTGAGAAGCAAAGGATGTTACTTCCTTTCATATAAGGCTCAGCCCTCCATTTTCTGTCCCTGGTGCGGTGTGGGATAAAAAATTGTAGAAATATGTTTACCACATTACAAAATGAAAACTCTATACCCAAGCTGAAGCCATATACCTTATCTAAGTTTGTCCTATGACTGAAATCACTAGTCCCACATCACAAAACTAATAAAACTAAGAGCCATATATAAGTTCCATTTACAAAAAAGTAGCCCTAAGCAGCAGATTGCATGGCTTCAATGACTGCAGATCAAACTTTTGATGTCTGGTGAAATTACCCTGAAATTTGGTCAACTTGCCAATTACCATCCCTATGTATGGGCTTGGAAAAAGTTTCTCCACAAACTACAATCATTCGCTGCACATTGCAAAAGTATTAAAACTAAGAAACATGTATAAATTCCACTCTCAGGTAAGTTTCACTCTCAGAGATGGGAATTTTTTACAATCATTTGCTGCACATTGCAAAAGTATTTACATAGAGCCAATCAGTTTATTAAAAACCATTAAAGTCTGGCAGGTTACCAGTAGATAGGTTCAAATTGCATTTTTATATATAGGCACGAAAACAATATCAGCGAGAGAGAGGACAACCTTTTTCATATTATTGAAAAGATACTTAGATCCATGATCAAAAACATAAAAATAAAAATAAAATAACAGAACTTTTGTTTAAACTCCATTGTATGAAAGTAAATCACATAACGTTCATGCCTTATGCTATTGAATTGCTACTTTCTACCAAAGACAATAAGAATGGTATTTTCCTTCCTAAGTTAAAACCTTCAAGGATACTTAGCACATTACAATTAATCGTGTAGAACTGTACAATTTCTGTCTGCACCAAGTACAAATGACAGCAAAAGACGAAAGAGCAATCATTATAGGTGTCATACCATCACATTGAGGAGAAGGAAATTTTTTTAAAAGAAAAAAGGGCACAAGGAAATAAATGAGATAACACTAATGAAACCCAAAAGATATAATTCATCAAGCCATCCAAGACAAGCAAGTATGAACATAAACTGCAAGCACATAGCAGGACAGAAGCATATGATAACACTGCTTGTGGGAAATTTAAGCAGACCTGATATAAGAAGAGAAGCAACCCATGTGCAAAAAGGACCCATCTAGGAGGAATTGAATCCAGGCGAAGTGAATATATCTGCAACACTTACATGTGAAAATAATGAAAGGGACACTTATCAAAGAAAATCGTCAGTCAAGATATTTTGCAACTACTTTAAAACTCAAACACAGTAAATAAACCAAACCAAACCAAGCCTTAAGTCCCATCAAATGGGGTCGGCTACATGAATCCTTCTTCTCCACGTGGCCCTATCAAAAGCCATTTCATTAGACAAACATAGTAAATGATAATAAAAAAAAAACATAATCTTTTCTATCAGATAAGAGCCAGGGATTTAGATGAAAATTAGCTCGGCGGCGAAAGTGCCCATTTGCCAAACACATACTTTCTAAAAATTACACATTATTTATTTTACAGATATTAAGATTTAGGATGTTAATTCAGTTGTAATCTGCATTTAGTTCAATTGTCACGGTTCCATGGCCCATATTCAGCACTACATCCAAGAGATGAATGTTATAGAACATTTTGCGACTTTTTCAGGACATTTGATCCTTCAAAAAAATTTCAATTGTGTGTAAGTTCACATTCAAAACAGTCTCATAGTGAATGTATTGAATTTTCCACTACCAAAATATAATCAAAGTATGAACTAGAACTAAACTAATTTTTTTCCCTTGTTGATCTTCCACTAAATTAAATTATAAAATTCAAATCTGAAACTAATGTGTCAAGAACATGTGATGAAATTTTCCGTCATCTAGAGTCATCAGGCAAACATTTAATTCAAAATAATCTAATCACACAGACATCCATGTATCAATCATGATGAAGAAACACAATCCAAATAAGAAAATTGTCGAAAAGAACAACTTTAAAAGCACTATAATAATTTTCCAAGTATAAGCTTAGCATTAGAAAGATAAACAAATATAGTCTTATGCATTTCTTGCGGTCCAGCGCAGGACGAACACAAACCTTGTTCAATTGAGTAAAGAATTCTTTATTTATTTTTCTTTCGTTCAACTGAGTAGAATTTAGTTTTTGATTTCTGAGCTACCAATGAAATTTCAATCAGAATTAAATGTGCCACAAAGAAATGAGGAAAGCTGTAAAGAACAAATGAAAGGTCAAGTGGAAAGGCATGATTGTCTACACTGGAGCCCAAAATATGACTCCATATAGAACTGAATGGTGAAAGTAAGAATTTATAGCTGATCCATATTTAATAATTAAGATTTCCCCAAATTGGGCAGAGATGAGTTTGTTTCTCTGATAAATCCTTCTTTTTATTTTCTTTCAATATTTTATTTTTAAAATGACCTTTAGTACCTCATTTCCTCTTACCCAATAACAAGAAGGATATTAAATTAGTCTTCACCAAATCTTGGGGATACAAACCGTTGAAAACTTACGATTAAGAGAAACAACATGTTTGCAATACAATAGATTTGAATTAATATTATGATGTTCTCATCAAACAAAGTGGCACGTATCAAGAAAGGGGAAAAAAACGAAAACAAAACTAGAGAGAAGGAGAAAAATATGAAAAGAAGTATGCAAATCATGATAAAGATGTCATTAATCAATAAACTTTAAAATGCAGTACAGAGAAGCAAATGAATAGTAAGAGAAGGAAAATAACTCACATAGCTATGCAATGTAGATATGACCAAGAACATGAATCCCATAAGGGTAATCTGGAGGGGAAAAAAAGGTGGCACAACCTATGAGTAAAGCAGTAAAAAGCATAATAAATTGAACTTTACATATCAAGAAAATATGAGATGGTTAGCAAAGAGTGTTTTACCATATTTGGTCTGGAAAAGCACCCCGCCCCAAAAAAAAATGAAAAGAAAAAGAAGAAAGAAGAGCAGTTAGTTACTTTCAGTGAAAGCTTGCAAGGTTTGCTCTGACAAACATTAACAATTAAAGGAAAGGAAGTCATTTATTCTCCACTTGTTTGATATTTTCAATTAACCATTTTTCACAGAGACACAGTTTACACCCCACCTCACAATACAATATCCCAACATAGCATAGAACAACATAAAAGAGTTTCAGTTCTGCCCAAGGACCACAACTGAAACACCAAAAACTCAATTCAAAAGAATCTTTAAGTAACAACTAAATAATTACCATAAAATAAATAAATAAAAAGAAACAAGATCCATTCATTTTACTATAACAATGCAGAACACTAATATTACACACCCAAAATTTATATCCAGAATTTTACCCAAAAACATTAAAATCCAAATTCATTCCATGCATGGACCCTACAATACACCAACTAAATCTCAAACACAATTTTCCTTTCTGGGGAGATTTCTTGACAAAAAATTTGGGTGAGTAGATTTCTCAAATGTAAAATAAGGAGAAAACCAAACTTACACAGAATTGGAAAGCACCTACATTGTCCAAGAAGTAAAAACTCAAAATCTGAAACAACCCTAATTTGCAATAGCCCATAAAAAAAATCAAAAGGGGAACACCCTTCAGACGGTAGATATTGACCAAAAATTTAAAACCTTGGTGAAGAAATAATAGCATTCATCTTTTCAGAACATAAAATAAGAGAAAAAAGAACAAACGAAAGCAAGAAACAATACCCAAATAAAAAATTAGCTGAATTCAAACTATCTGAACAAAGAAATCATACAAAAATACATAGAAATGATAAGGACTCAACCTGAAAAACAAACAATACTTGGAAAACAGAACCTACGCCCAAAATCTAAGAATGACCCGCTTGGTTGCTGAGAAAACGTGTGTAATCAAAGAAACAGAGTTTGAATCTTAAATCTTTGGTCTAAGAGAATCTATTTTCTCTTCAATTTCTAAATTTATCAGCAATGAAGGATATAGGAAGTTATGAAATATACATAAAGAAAGAGAAATACAAAATAAATAAATAAAAAGAAATCCAGACAATCCAGCGCAGTGGTAGGGAACCAGACACTAAAGATTCAAACTTTATTTTCTCAGTTTTCCTTAGTTCACTCAAAAGCTTAAAAAGCAACGAAAAATACATTATCAGATTTAAAATCTAAACTCTTTGCTTCTATTTTCCTAAATTTTCTCAGCAACCAAACAGACATATGCCAAAATACACATAAACAAAGCTCACCTGCACTTAGCAGCAATGTCGGCCAATCCAAATAATGGAAATCAAAGAGAAAACGTGAGACACAGAGATATAAACAGAGATTTCCTATTATAAGTTGAAAAAAAATACCTAGATGAATCAGAAATGAAGAAGACGAAACAGAAATGGCGAAGATGGACGGAGGCGCAGACGATGGAGAGGCGACGACGGCGGACGGCAAGGTCGATGGTAAGGTGAGGTGATTGGCGCAACTGAGCTTTGATCAAATTCGACTGAGGTGTGTGAAAGAGGCGCGTATTTCTGATTTAAATGTGTTTGAATTAGTAAATTATCCCCTACCAACCTGTTGGTCGGCTAATGGCTGTGTGCGAATTTAGATACCAAAACGACGTCGTTTTGGTATCAGCGACCAAATTATGTTGGTCGCTGAAAGATCAAACAGCTTCCGCCCAGATTTTATTATCCCACCCAGATTTTTGGCGACAAAAATTGTAATTTGGTCGCAAAAAATTACTTATTTGCAACAAAAAAATTTTGGTCGGTAATAGAAATTTTTTTTAGCTACCATATTTTAATTTGGTCGGCAAAAGTGGTCACCAAATGTGTAAATTCTTGTAGTGATATGTTGCTATTTTGAACCCTTGACCACCTTTGGACCCCTCTTTTGCACCATTTGCTCAAGGCTTCTTGAGGAAGCCTTGACCCCTTATCTTGGCTTCCTCAAGAAGCCTACCAGCTGTCCAAGCTTCTCCAATAAGCCTTGAACCCCTTTGACCCTTTGAAGCTTGCCTTAGAAGCTTAGTATTGCCTATATAAGGGGCCTCTCCTCCTCCATTGTTGAGGTTGGATTTTTGGAACAAAAAACCAGAGATATATAGATATATCTGATATATACATACATATATCCCTTCATCTCTCACTATATCTCTCCCATTCAACCATCAAACACCCTTGTTCTTGGGCCATTTCTTCATCAACTCATAGCACAAGGCATCCAACGCCCATTCCAGCAGCTTGAGGCATTGTAGTTGCATCTTGTATGTGTTGCATTAGCCATCTTAACATGAGCTAGGATCATGCATTGATTACTAACTAGCTTTTGTTTTAGCTCAGAGTACTAGGTAAGCAGTTATGCTTTAGCATACCGCATGCGTGTAAGTGTTGCCACAATAGCATGATTACCATGAGGCTAGCTGCTTATGTGATATAACTACTTGAATGCCTGTGGATGGAGGTTGAATTAACTAAATTGGGATAATGCATTAAAACTGTGAGTTTTAAGTCCACTAGATAGTGGCAAAACCATCTTTTCTAAAGCCTACTTGAGGGTGGCAAAACCTGCATTTCAGCCTACTTGGGAGTAGCAAACCATTTTCAAAACAAGCATGAAATGTTTTGTTCCAATTTAGGCAATTTGGTCTATACTTGTTTGCTGTGCGCATAACATAGTAATTCTAGGCTAATAACCGGAGTAAGAACATATAACATTTTCAAAAATGGATATCACGGTTAGTAAAGGCCGATCTTTGGATCGGGCGAGAGGGGGTGCTCATAGCTGACCTCCCTAACCGTACCCAACCTCCCGAGCCAAGGCAACTTTGGTGATGACGGACATGTGGCCTTTGGCACCGAGTCAGGGTTTCCTAAATTCCCGCATAAAAAATATTTAGGTGGCGACTCTGTATCTGGCAAAGCAGTCCATGTTTGGCACTTCTTTTCTAAAAATCTATTTTCTCAAAACGATTTGCCGAATTTGGACTCTTTGGTTCAGATTAAGAACCGTGACAATTTGACAGTCCTGAACTGTAGTGAGCCCAATACGAACAGAACGGGGGGGACTTGTCCTCCCGGGGCGTTCGGCGACGTCTACAGAATGCAAACATGCAAAGCATAAGGTATGCTAATCAAAACGTACCCGAAAACTAACCATCGAAAGCGGTAAGTAAAAGGGAGAAAGAAATGGGGTTGGAAGACATGGACACACACACGCACCCTTATTACAACATTTGTCCTCTCGACGGAGGGTCCGAATAAATACGCTAAGCCTATCTAAGCTAAGCTAGACAACTAATCTAATTATCTAATTAGACTAATTATTACACAACCAAATCAAATAACTAGCTACAACTAATTATTACAACACTTAACTAATTAACAAATTAATTAAGACACATTGAGATGCTAACCAACAAATGAAACTTTAAGCTATGCTGCCATAGCTCTGTTTGAAGAAGAAGAGGATGCACGCTCGGTTTTCGCCTCGAAAAGCTCTCCAGTTTGCTCTCTTGAGGCTCTATTTGCAGGTTGTCCTTGAGAACTGGCTGCTGGAACTTACCAAGCCAAGGCTGGGGAGTGCACCAGTGGCCTGCCGGCCACCTGCCGGCCAAGAATGGGCACTGCCGGCCAACAAAGGAAGGGTGTCGGCCACCAATGTGGCACTGCCGGCCACTGGTGCTCTGTGACACCATTCTGCAGCAGAGCACAAAAACAGAGGAAATAGAGGGTCTCCCAAGGGCATGTACGTACTATGCCACCCCATATCACCTCAAAACATCAAGGGGGAGGCATCATTGGATCCAAGACCATCAATCAAGCATGCAATGCATGATGGCCAAAGATCCAATCTTGTACACATTCAATCAATGCAATGCAAACAAGACTCTAAATCCACTACCTCATCATGGATAATCAAAGGCAATGGAGACAAAAAGGATTGGCTCACTTTCATCACTTTGAGTATGAAGTGGACCAATACACTTTGTGTTCAACATAACGTCCGGTTGAACACAATGCAATGCAAACAACATGCTATGCAAACAACATGCTAATCTTGACATGTTTTCCTTGATTGATTTTGTTTACACATTTTAACATTATCAACCATTCTTTAATTGGTTAAATCCGAATGTGAATGTCCTCTGGTGGGAAAGATGGCCTCAGCCACAAGCACCTTAAGCCTGGAAGAAGTCTCATGCTTTTGGTTAGTAGAAACCCTCCGAGGAGGGCTAAAACCATTAGGCACAAGATCCTCAATTCCATGTTTAAGCCAACAAAGGGCTTAAGACTACTTTCAAAGCAAGTGAAAGAATGAAACCATGGAGTGCAATGACATGCTAAGTAACTTAAAACCATGCAAACAACCCATGTAATGCATGTTAAAGGCTTAAGCATCAAAGCTAGTGAAGGACACAACACTAGGACCATGCAATACCATGCTCAATGGACTAAACCAGCCCTAAACAGACCTCATGCATGCCAAAACAGTGGCAAAATCATGCTGAAAATGGGAGCTCAAAAGCTACAATAACACGCTTATGCATTGGCTCGCAAGCTATGCATAATGCTCAACTTTTCAAAAGCATTGAAAGAGTGATTTAAGTGGAAGTATGGCAAAGATATAAGCTCTGAAATCACCTACCAAATGATGTCATATCATGCACACATCACAAATGTAGCATGCTACGAGCCTCAAAACTCAAGACTAGTGAAGCCATTTACACTATAGCTATACAAAGCAAGCCCCAAAGGATCAAGATGACTCAAAATAGTCCTAAAGAATGTCAAAATAATGCCAAAACATGCATGGAGTATAGCCAAGACAAGCTAGCATGAAAGGCCAAAACACCGAATACACTAGGCTAATGGTCAAGATTGCACTACAAGTGCCAAAACCAAGCAAGAGGTGACGCCACCAACCAAAATCAGAGTTATGACATGGCAAATAATGGCTAAAACATGATTGAACTAAGCAAATTCAAGGCACAAAGACATGCTACTTTGCAAGGCTATAAGTAGGATTACACTACAAGTGCAATAAGCATGCAAGAGGTGCCCATGATAGCCAAAAACAGAGTTAAGGCAGGTCTGAAAAGTTACAAAAATGAGCCTAAATAAAGCCACAAAGAAGTAGAAACACATGCTCTTTTGATGGGCCATCAACACAAGCAAACAAGAGAAGAGGAGGGGGGACAACCCCCACCCATTTGGGACCTCAAAACCACATTTCTACCACTGAAATTCCTCTGAGTTTCAGTGGTAAGAAGGCCAAAAAGAGATGGTCCCAACGGCCTTAAAAGATGGCACAAAGCAAGGCAAAATAAGCCACCAAAGGGGTTAAACCACCCCTAACTCAAACTAGGCCTTAAACAAACATTTTAAACACTTAAAGATAGAACTTTTTGCAGTTGAAACTTAGGCCGAAAAAAGCATGCAAAGGTGGCCAAATATGCAATCAAAATAAATCTTAAAAGGGGAAATATGACTCACCCTTGAAGAACAACAAGAACAGCAACTTCTTGAGCTAAAAACCAGCTTTTAGAACTCAAATACACCCTCCAAGAACCTAAGCAACAAAGATGGTGGGGTTTGGCTAGGAGGTTGTGTGCAAAAAATGCAAAGAAAATGCAATTTCAAGCACTATAGAACACAATATATATATATATATAGAGAGAGAGAGAGAGAGAGAGAAAGGGAATTCTAGAGAGAGATATTTTTGTTCTCTAAAAATCTGAACCTGGAGGAAGGGTTCAGGCCTCAAGCTTGTTAGACAAGCTAGAGACAAGCTAGAGGCTTGGTGCAATCCCTCCATACACGTGTATGGAAGATGCCTTCTATACCCAACAGCTGGCACAGCTGGTACCAAAAATATCTACAGAAAGTGCAGAAAGGCCGCCGACCAGTTAAAGGGGTCGACCGACCACCACCCCTAGTCGACCGACCACCTTAGGTGGTCGACAAGGGAAAAAACTGGCTGGCAAGGTAGAAAAAGGGTCTACCAAGAGAGGAAAAGGTGGTGGCAAGCTGCAAACCACTTAGGCTGGTCGACCGACCACCCACCCTAGCTGACCGACCACCAAAAGTGGTCTACAAGGGAGAAAACTGGTTGGCAGGGGAGAAAAGTGGTCTACACCCCTACTTCTCCCTCCAGGCAAAAGGGGGCACCAAGGTTTGGCTTAAAACAAGCACAAAACCAAGAGAGTTCAGAGACTCAGGGGCAAGGCGCGAAACCAAAAACCCCAGGGACTCCAAACGAGTGCAAACATGCACAATCATCGAGCACTCAAACGATGATGTACAAGTCTTTAGGACGATCAAAAATGGGGTGTCTACAGTTGCCCCTCTTTGACTGAATTCGAAAGTCATGAAATGACGGGAGTAAATGTCAAAGCCTAGACCCATTTTTTACAAGGCCGAAGACTCAGACAAACAGGCAAGATGACAGAATAGA